GCTGCTGCCGGTGGTCAAGAACTCTAATGTATTCTTGTAGGTGTATAGACATTATTATTAATATTATTATTATTATTATAACTTTATGAAATACATTTCTGTCACAGCTCCCATTACCAATGTGGGTTTTGGCTAACATTATATTTATATTATATTTATAAAATTTATATTTGTTATTAATTCTTCTTCAGCCTGAGTGGTTGTAACCTGTCAGAGAGAAGCTGTGAAGCTCTGGTCTCAGTTCTCAGCTCCCAGTCCTCCAGGCTGAGAGAGCTGGACCTGAGTAACAACAACCCACGGGATTCAGGAGTGAAGCTGCTGTATGCTGGACTTGAGAGTCCACACTGTAGACTGGAAACTCTTAGGTCAGCCTACCTCAATTTTAATAGCAATAACAAAACAGTTTTACTATATAGCAAAATATACAATATATATGTATTTGTGTGTCTGTCCTTATGGGTGCAAGGGTTTGAAGCAAAGCGTATTGTGAGCAAAATCCATTTCTGAATCCACTCAGGCTGAGTGGCTGTAAGCTGTCCTGGAGAAGCTGTGAACCTCTGGCCTCAGTGTTCAGCTCCCAGTCCTCCAGTCTGAGAGAGCTGGACCTGAGTAACAACGACCTGCAGGACTCAGGAGTGACGCTGCTCTCTGCTGGACTGATGAATCCGTGCTGTAAACTGGAAACACTCAGGTTAACGTTCATGAAATTGCAAAGTTTAACTGTGAGTTTGGAATTGTTAGAATATGTTATAAGGCATCAGGGTAGAGGAGGAATGGATATGAGGGAGCTGCTTGAAACTCTCCCACAAACCAGTATGCTGGGTGTACCATATCTGGCTCATATAGAGCATATTCTGTATGACTGAAACTGAATGAAACTGTATCTCTTTATTATAATTTAAACAGAACTTTTATTATTTTTGCCTTTTTATTTAAAATTCTTTAGGTTGAATTTGTGTAACCTATCAGAGAGGAGCTGTGAAACTCTGGCCTTGGTTCTCAGCTCACAGTCTTCCGGTCTGAAAGAGCTGGACCTGAGTAACAACGACCTGCAGGACTCAGGGGTGAAGCAGTTCTCAGCTGGATTAGAGAGTCCACACTGTGGACTGGAAACTCTCAGGTCAGGAATCCTCACTTGACTATTTAAACCATAGTTTATATGTAGTTTCATATCAGGCTTTTGTATCTGCTTTTTATCAATGTGTTTTTATATGTGTGCTTGTTGTCTCCGGTGTTGAGACCTAAAGTTAATTTTGAGGATTATTCAGCAAACTTATTCAAGAACTGCCAAAGTAACCAGATACAGTCTGATAGAAGATAGAACAATTTTTTCTCCTAAAACGTCACTGCACATACCTAAAGCTTCGGAGTAAGACACTGTCCCTCGCTCTTGCGTGTAGGTTGTCAGGCTGCATGATCACAGAGGAAGGCTGTGCTTCTTTGGCCTCAGCTATGAGGTCTAACCCTTCCCATTTGAAAGAGCTGGACCTGAGCTACAATCATCCAGGAGACTCGGGCGTGAAGATGCTCTCTGCTGCGAAGGATGATCCACAGTGGAGACTGGACACTCTCAGGTAAGTTTTCCCAGTCACAGTGATGAACTAAGATCCAATATTGTCTCATATTTAACAAGGTTATGAATGAAATTGCTTACTATGAAAACATAACTGACTATGTTTATTTCTCCAGTGTGGACCAAATCGGCATGCACTGGTTGAAGTCTGGTCTAAGGAAGTGTAAGTCTGTACACAGTCATAAGAAATCTTTTCATACTAAATGAACTGATAATGGACAGAAGTTTTGTGTGAAAGCTACCCTATGTTACAATTGGGAAGCAAGGCTCTGTTAGGGCTGTCCCTTTTTATTCAAATGAAGAACAAATTAAATATTTGATCTGTAACAGGGGTGGACTGGGAATAAACAAACAAGTATCAACAACAACTGAACATTACTAAATTTGCATTGTATTACATTTTACAATTATTTTTATTTTTCATGTTCCACAACATATTAGAATTTCTGATGAAACCAGAGTGAGGAACTGAGCTGAATACTGTCATCATGCTAACTAAACCCAGATTATATTATTCATAGGTATGTTTTCATTACCTGAAAATAAGAATCGTTGTGTTTTTGTTACTTTAGAATTAGCTGTAGTGAGTGGGCGGGTCCTCTTCTATGGAGTCCTCCATGTTGAACTGCCATGTTTCTACTGTAGCCCAGAAAGGACAAACCAAATAATGTCCGTAGATAGAGCTTTTCGTGTTTTTTTGTGGTATCATAGTTTCTCCTATGATGATGAGTGATTGGTTGAGTCAAGGGTTTCAGTTGGTTTCAATCTGCAATCTCACCACTAGATGCCACAAAACCTTACACACTGCTCCTTTAAACCAGCTTCTAAGACCCAAACTCATGTCAAATTATCAACTGACAGTATATAGTTAGTGGATAGAGCTTTCAAGTATGTGAAGTTAAACCAATGCACAAGTGTCTTAAACCTTATGTTCCATGGGTTGCAAAACAGAAGTCCAATAGTATGGAGTCTTTATTATCCTACTTTTCACTTGCTTTATTAGCTCAGTAAAAAGTTTCCTAATGAGTTTATGGTCTCAATCACTAGTTACTGCATTATTGCTGCTGGCTCCAAAAAACCAACACGGCTACACCCATAAAGTCAATATCATGATAGGTCCACACTTGATCTGAACTGATTTGTCCAAATTCAAAATTGACGGTGTAGAAGTGTAACTTGTGAACGTGTGTCTTCCACTCCAGAAGTTAAGTTCCTAAAATGCCATGCTGACCCACACTGTTGGATCAGTAAACCAGGCTAATACTGTTTTCCTTACTAACAAGCCGTGCAGAGTGGAAAATCCTTACAGCAAACCATCTGACATGTATTATGTATATGTGTATGTTATGTATATGTGTATGAACATGTACAGGCTCTAATAAATAATATAAAAAATTTTTTTATTTCAACACCAAAAATGGAAAAATCATACATAAAGATAGGACTGTTTGCTAACCTCTGTCTTTTGTTCCACATCAGATGCCTGTGAACTCACCCTGGACCCAAACACAGCAAACAGATACCTCTCTCTATCTGCAGACAACACAAAGGTGACACTGGTGAGAGAGAGTCAGACATATCCCGAGCACCCAGAGAGATTCCACGACTGGAAGCAGGTGCTGTGTACAATTGGTCTGACTGGCCGCTGTTACTGGGAGGTGGAGAGGAAAGGCTGGGTGTCTGTGGGAGTGACTTACAGAGGAATCAGAAGAAGAGGAGGGGGGCACCTCGGCGTCAGCGACACGTCTTGGAGCGTGTGCTGCTCTCGTGACCGTTACTGTGCCTTTAGCAACAACAGAATGATAGCCATATGTACCACCAGCTCTGTTTCTGACAGAGTAGCGGTGTATCTAGACTGGCCTGCCGGCACTCTGTCCTTCTACAAAGTCTGCCCTGAGACACTGATGCACCTCCACACCTTCCACTGCACATTCACTGAACCCCTCTACCCTGCATTTGGGTTTGAGTATATGATTAGGTTCGACTCCACGGTGTCTCTGTGTCAGATGGAGGAGGGGGAGTTGGCTCCTGGTGAGAAACACCTCTGCTGAAACAAGACTGTACAAGATTACACACACACACACAAAAGTCACATCTTAAGGTGTGGCTGTTAGCCTTTGTATTTTCATGTGATTTATCAATGTCTTAATGCACTGAAATGAACAGGGTTGTAACATAACTTTGAGAATAAAAAGTTGTTACGTGTCTGTAAATGATCAACAGATTAAAATATCTTTCTTATGAGCCATTTTATTTGGTATTTCTTTCTTAAATCTCACATTGTCAACCAAAGCAATTTTAGTTTTCAAATGTTGTTACACAGAATTTTAAAGATTCCTTCCATATGCATTTAGACATATACACAATGTCAATTTGAACAATAAAGTGTGTGTTTTTTGGTTCCTACTTGAGAAGTAACTGTTTAAAAATGACTCATAACTATTTAATTTATAAAGTAAAATAGTATAAAGTGATGTTAACTCAAACAGGAAGAAATAGCACAATTGTTCAAGACTATTTTTAGCGGTGGATGAATCCACATTTGGTGCTCTGTGTAAGCATTAGGGGCAGCAGGACGGTGTGAGGAAGAAGCTATATGAGGCTCTGACACACACACACACACACACAAAATACTTGTTACAGTTACAGGTAGTACGATTAATTCATTATTAAATATAGAATGACATCAGCCTTAACATGATTTAATCAGTTAAGACAAAGGTCCTACTGTAATGGCCTAAAAATAAACCTTACTTTGAGGTTGGGGAGAAAACTGACTTACATTGCTGAGTTTGGTTGAAACAAAAGAAGTCACTAAGACTCAAGTTCAAATATTTTGTTTTGGTTGTGCATCTAGAAATAAGAGAAGTAACAAAATTCAGTGTTCAATACCTGCCACAGTCCTGTGTTTCAGTGCAAATAACAACTACAAGTTATTTATTTATTTGTTAGCTATATTTCTTGTTGTAAAAACGTATTCATTTGTATATAATAAGCAATCTAAAAGAAAACAATTCTGTGGAGTGTTTACCACTACTAGCCATATGGAGCAATGTTTTTAGGAGTGGGTCCTCCTTTAAGACTTAAGCACTTCAATTTCTCTATCACTAACAGTCACATATTCACATTGCTATTTATTCACATTGATTATTCTAACTTTTTATTGGGTCTGAGTATCAGTGAAATAGTTTGATACTACACCAATACTTGTTTGATACCTTACTTTGAGAAATACCTAAGTTTTTCTACAAAAACGTATTTTTCATTTAACAAAAGAACCAAATGCATAGGCCAGACCAGATACCGCTACCAGTGACCAAAACCTTACTTAATTTGTTTATAGGGTCAGAATGAGTAAATTTAAACATTATTTCTGAAAACAAACACCACCCCCATCTGCAAGAAGAAAAAAAAAACAGTAGTCACATTTATCAGGACTGAATAACATTTTATTCTGCATTTCCAGAACTTCTGTACAATACCAACATTTTTCAAGACCTGGAAATAATCTTACTTCTGTCAGTAATCCAGGCTTTATAGAGCCACAGAAGAACCCTGCTTTAAGCACAACACAACACAACCAAACAGGGATATGATCTCTTCACTTCCACTTGAGGAAGCGTGTTGCAATCAACATTTTGGCAATCACATATATTCTGCTAGGAGCTGCTTCTCATATAACCATTCTATAACATAATAAAACAAATAAAAAGGAATGCCCTATATTTGTGATCCCATTTGAATCTTTAGCGACCTAACCCCCTGCCAATGGACCAGGGATTGACAAAACACCGACAGCAGAGGAATCAACGTGGCTGCAGAGAGCTAAAGGCAGACACTGGAGGACAATGGAAGGCAGAAAGGAAATACAATAAGCCTGACAGACCGCTTGTCTCACCATGGTGGAAAGATCCTAGAAAAGACTATAAGAAGGGGGGTATCAAGTTTAAGAGCTTGTATATGGACTTAAAGGAGCAGTTCAACATTTTGGGAAATACACTTCTTCGCTTTCTGGTAGATAGCATTTTGTGAAGATTGATACCACTCTCACATCTGTTAAATATGAAGCTACGGCCATGAGCTAGTTAGCTTAGCTCAGCACAAAGACGGGAAACAGGAGATAGCCTAGCTCAGTCCAAAGGTAACACAATCCACCCAGTAGCACCTCTAATGCTGTGTAAAGTGTAGAAACAGTTTATGGTTTTATGGGGGGTTATGTACTGAACTATTTCTTGAGGCATAACCCCCCATAAAATGCTGAATCATCTTCTTGACTTTGTAGAGATGAAACAAATATAACAAATTATATATTATATAAATATAAAATGTTAATTAGTGAGTTTCAGAAGGTGGATTTTGTTACCTTCAGATAGAAACAGGCTAGTTGTTTTCCTGTTTCCAGTCCTTAAGCTAAACTAAGCTAAGCTAAGCAAATGTATTTTGCTAAATATAAAACTCCTTATGGGACAGGTTCCGATTTATTTAACTCTATCTCAATACACAACACTCATATCCTGTAGGTACACTGGAAGAGTTACTGGTCCTCAGTATAATCACTCCTCCTCTGCATACTGGCTGTAAAGAGATCCCTTCCTAACATTTAGTGCAAAAATATATTGCAAAGTTAACCTGAAGCTTAGATGAGGCTTCAGCAGTCTGTGCTTTTGGAGTGTTTCCTTTGCTCACAAAACCAGACAAACTCTGTTCCCTTCTCTTCTTTACCTAGAGAAATCCCCTCACTGCGTTCACACTGCGAGCAAAGCCGTCAACAAGTCTGTTCATTTCCTGTGCCGTTGACGGGTGATTAACAAACTGTTAGCTGAGAATTGCTTGATAATCAGATCTCTTCACTGCCTTACTTCCCCTAGATATGTTTCCCTAACAACCCAAATCTGTTGGTATCCAGTGGTGAAAAGTGACAAATGAATATTGGTTGAGTACAGAGTTTATCTATTCTTTTTTAACAAATTCCATCAGTATTAAAAAGCCAAAGGCAGCAAAAAGGGTTTGCTGCCTTTGGTCTGGCCTCCCTGGCTTCAGACAGAACAGAACAACCGAGTTACTGGCAGTGTGAACACATGCGAACTTCCTATCGCTTTCACCTCCATCAGTTTCCCTCGAGCCCGGGTCGGTCTAGCTAAAGCGCAGGATAGTTTGATTTGTGTCTTGACCGGTTCATCACAAGAGCCATCCACCCAAAGAATGGCAGGGTTTCCAAATAAACAATACACCCTACACACTGCAAATTAGCATTAGTTTTAGCACAACAATGAGAAAACAGCATAACGAAGGGTATAAAGGTGGACGTCAATGAAACTGACATTAACGGCTTCTTGTCTGGTAAACAGATTTCAACAGCACTATTAGAACTGAAAGCTAAGCAGGACTTTTTTTGTATAATACACAGGAGTCATCATATTCAGAATCGCGAGCTGCTGATGGTTTCATGTGGCCTGGTTGAAGAGGCTGATGAGGTCCAGTCTGAAAGAGCTGTGGCTTGGTCTCACCCTGGCCAGAGGAGAAAAGGCACGTGACTTGCAAAGCCTCGCTGAATAGTCACCTTCTCAAACTACCTTCCATTGTTAAAGGTCTGTCCTTCCTTCCTCCCCTCTTGAATTTAAAGACAACAGGGACACTTTGATGATCACCTCCCACTGCTCCAGCCAACTCAGGCCATTGACCCTGACTTTCCCCAGTAACGAAGGTCCCTTCGTTTGGCCCAAACCTGCCTCTACTTCTAAGCCTGACTGGATTTCTGTTTGGGCTTGTGGGTTTTTCGTCCATTCCTACAGCGCATTTTTAAAGGTTTGAGCCATGAAACTAACCTTCTAAATCCACAAGTGACGATGGTTAATCTCAAAATCTATCAGGCATTTGGGCAGCCAACTTGAGTTTTAGAATCAAACTGACAGCATCAATATGACAGCTGCTTTGCTACAAAAGTAGCACAAATACACCTTTCCAGGCCAAATTTGCCAGCATTTGACTAATGGATGGTGTTTATTTTTCATTGTAAAGAGAGCACTACCATTTCTTCTCTCTCTGCAACGTCCGTACAACACAAGCTTGATTCCAATTCTGAACCCTGGACTCACTAAAGCCTTAAACATAGGGGTTTGCATTCTCTTCTGTGATTTTGTTCCTCCACTGCAAACAAAACAAAAAAAGGTCCCTTTGTCTTTAGTTCTTGGCCTGGCTTTGAGTCCAGCACCGTCCAGGGAGTCAGGGCTGGGAGCTGCCCTGGCTGTCGGGGTCCGTCCCAGAGGAGCTGGTGTCTGAGTCCGAATCGTCGTCATTGTGGTCGTCCTCCGCCAGGCTTTTCTCGCGTATTCGCCTGTGGGTGGCGCTGAGGCGAGCCAGTAGGCCCTGGTAGTCGAAACGGCCGCGCTTCTCGCCAAATGGGTCCTGGGTAGAGGGACCGAAAAATGAACAAGTGAGCTAAGGACAGCATGTCAGTCAGAAATGTCCTGGTCTTTGCTACGGGGGTGTAACACATGGCTACCATCTGTTTCGGTATAAGAAAAAAGATCCACATTCATTTTCTGTGCTGAATTGTTTTATACTTTACTCTTCTTTCGGTAGTTGCTCACAAAATATAGAAAATAACATTTACAACATACATCTCGACCATATACCTACCAGTTTATCTTCATCTTTTTATTAATCACTTTTTAATTTATTGGACTGTTGACAGTTCAGAAGCAGACAGAAAACATAGGGAGAGAGGGGGGTATAAGTGCAACAAAGGCCCCAGATGGAACTGAACCAGTGATGTTCTGGGTACATGGTATGTCTGGGAGGTCCAACCATGTAATCAATCAAATACTGAAATGACAGTTTTCACACCACTGCTAAAGTGCGAATGCTAACTTGCGAGTGGAGCATTCTACCTCTATTGTATGCTAGCATGCTAATTTATGCTTAAGTCAAAGTTAGCATTGATTTCAATTGTACTGTGATATTTAAAAAAATATAATTTTTGGCTTTTTTATTTGACAGGTCAAGGTAGACAGGAAGGAGAGAGAGGGGATGACGCGCAGCAAAGGGCATACATAGGAATATGTTATAACTGCACCTAATACTGAGAATCAGAAAAGTTTCAGTAGAATCAAGACCTCTACTTCTGTGTCTCTGTCTCTCTCTCTAACCCGAGACCCACTGTAGATGAAGAGCTGACACACAGCTATAAAGAAATATTCTTCATTTCAGTCCCTCTCAGCTTTACATTATCTTTACCACAGCTCAAAAAACCAAAACAAACAAAACAAAACACTATGCAACTGTTGGTGTGAGTGGAAATAAGTAGTGGCAATATGTATTACCAGGGAAAAATACAAGTCAGAATTGCATTGAGCCATAATAAATGCCCTTTCTTTAAAACTGAATGTTGTGTTTGTAATGGGAGGAAATATAAAGTTGGAGTGGAAAAAAAAGAAAGAAAAAGGAGAAAGCTGTTGAAAGTCGGGCCATTACCCTGTAATAACTGCACATGTACAACCGGTTATACACTGTTTCAAATATTTTTGCACACCATATTTCTTACTGCATACTGC